AAATCAGTATTGGTTACTAATGGTGACAAATGGAACATACTGATGTAAGACTTTAGTAAGAGAGGGAATTCGCTGTACCAAATTTGACACTTTCCTGTACATTTTAAAATTTAAACTTTTTTATGAAATTACAAATTTGATAGAACATACTTTAAAATAGTGTATAGAAAGTTGTCAACCTTTAGTAATAAAATTGAAATTTCTCTCAGACCCTTATGTTAGAAAAAGTTTTGCTTCTTCTGCACATCAACCAGGTTTTCATTTCATTCTCACTTAATCTTGTCAAGCTCTCCCCGTGGGCCAGCCACTAGGAAGCTTGACAATAAATCTATTAGTAATTATACAGAGGATTACAGTTTTTTTGAAGCTCTCATCATCAACTCGGTTATTATCTTAATATATTCAATCCATTCCAATTCTTTTACAGTTCATTCATGTGAGTATTTTGTTGATGTTTTCCTTTGTTGGTGCTGGGGACTAAACCTAGGACCTCAGTTTTCATAAGTGTGCACTGAGCTACACCTCAGACCTGACTTCACGTTATTTATTACCATTCATTTCAAATCTCTTTAGAGGGAGAGCATGTATTTATATTTATATAAATTTTGTCTGAGTATACAAACTTTTATTATTAGAATTTCTGACTGTTTCTCATGTTCTAGACAGTTACCCCCTCAATGACTAAAATGTGATGAATTACTAAGGCATTTTGTTTCAGTTCTTGAATTGCCAAATTATGGCAACACTGCCTGCTCTAATGGGTGGTTGCTGAGGAGTGATGGAGTTAGCATTTGTTAGTATGTCTAGCACAGAGAAAAGGAAGCCAATCAGTAAATGATAATTACCATTACTGTTATTGAAAAGTAGCAGTAATTATTTTCATTAATATAATAGAAAGAATGCAGATTAATTACAAATCAACCCTAGGCCTGGTGGTGATTTTTCTCAGTGACCTTGATAAACAAAAGTAGCTGCCATCTTTTGGAAGATGAAAACTAGTGAGGGAGAGAAAAAAATAAACATATGAAAAAAGAATAAAAGGTGGAGGAGAAGAAAACAGAAGGAGGAGAGGAAGACGAGGAGGGTTTCTTACACACTATCAGTGCCAAAAACAAGTTTGAAAGTTTTAAAACAAGGTGAAATCTAATCACTTGTTATCCTGAATTCTGCTAGAATAATAAAACAGAAAAGAAAAACACCCTGTAGCCTTTTTGGCACTCATTTTACCAAAGCCACCCAAAACAATCACATATAAGGGCTAAATGAACACCAAATTTTAACTTCTCCTTGGGCTAGAGGATGCCAAGTGTCTGCTCTACTGCCTAGGGGGTTTTGGCATTGATTCATTCCATTTTAGAACTGCGTTTCTCTTATTTTAGAAGAAGGAACAAGTAGTGGGAGGTTTTTTATTTTTAAAAAACCCTTTATTTATTTAAATACTATATGCTATATATTTTTCCCCAGTACCTTTAACTCTCAGTAACCCTGAGAAGTTACTAAGGAAATGAGGCTTACAGTGATAAATCATTTGCTCCAGGTTCTCACAGTGTACAGTACAGACCTTGAACGCAGGTCGGTTTGACCACAAAGATTTCCCTCTCACCATTACGCAAGAAACCTCATGTAAGGATTACCTGCCTAATGTCACAGAGAAGGGAATTTTTTAAAACTTTATTTTTATTAGAACACATTTGTTATACATATCGATCACATTCATCATAGGGAATTTGTACCTGTACATAATATATCTTAATTATTTTGTTCCCCATTCTCCCCCTGACCCACTAGCCCCTACACCCCTCACCATTTACAAAAGCTTTGTTTCCAGTTTGTTTCCACTTTTTTCCTTTATCTTCTTTGTTTTTTTTTCCTTCCTTCTCCCCCTCCCCCCAATGTGATATTTTAAACATATGTGTATGATTTATTGCACTTAAAAGTATGGTCTCAAGGTTCATTCATTTACCTAAAAATGTCTCAAATTTATCCCTCTTTATTGCAGAATAGTACTCCATTGTATATAAAAACCACATTTTCTTTATCCATTCATCTGTTGATGGGCATATAGACTGTTTCTGAGATTTAGCTATTACAAATTGTGCTGCTATAAACATAGGTATGAATGTATGATACTTTTAACTGAGAAAGGAAATTTTTAAAAAGAGTTATTTCCTTTACAGTTTTTCTCAGTAGTGTTATTAAAAGCTTTTCTGCTATCTCAAACCCATGCAATAACATCATGGAATCGGTGCTGCCATCATCTCCATTTGCAATTTGGAAAGCTCAGGGGGGTTTGCCCTTTTGTCTTGATCATGCAGGTTAGAATAAAGAAGGGGGAAACTGAGATACTGAGTAAAGAGAAGAGAGACAAAGCAAATGCAAGCTGGAAGTGAGCCAGGGAATGGGCATCCACTTCACAAGAGAAATTTGGTGTCTCATGCCCAAGATCTGAAGAATCTGTTCTACAGGAGAAGGAGACTAGAAGGGAGACCACATAACTTGCTTGTAACTATGGACAAGGTTGAGGGGAGAGAAAGGACAATTTCTATTAATGAAAGCAAAATAAGCATCATAGCCAATAAAAAATGGCAGAAATGATGGATGGCCAATAAATCCTTCCTGTGCATTAAATTTTCTGTTTCTTCAGGGTCTAAGATTTTCATAGACAGGGGTGGAAGTTTCCAAATATATTCTGATAGGCCAACAAAAAGCCTTCCAAATTTACAGTCACTAAATTCCTTGGGCATTTAAAATACTTTCAATCTCTAACAGACAGAGAGCATCTTAGAGTCACATACAACTTTTATGTATATTCCATATACTGTTTTCCAAACTAATCTGACCAATATAAACGTGACCATAAAAGTATTTGTTAAACCTACAAATTCTCAGATCTGCCAGGGAGATTCTAATTCAGTAGATTGAAAACTACAACTCCTAGAGATCTGTGGTTCTCACAACAAATTTGTAGGTAGATATTATAAGGAGACTAAGACTCAAAAGAAGAGAAGAGACATGCTCTAAATCACACAGCTAGTGAGGAATACAAGTCACTGTGATTTCAGTTTGCACAGATGTCATTTCATTTAAGTCCATCTGAGCCAGAGCTTTTCACAAAACCCACTCCTCAGTGCTGAAATGGTATCAGACACCAGGAAGTGGACATGTAAACATTCAGAACCATCAGAGTAAACCAGGGAAGAAATCAGAGCACTAGGTGGAACAACACCCAAAGAAAAAGAGGAGGAAAAATCCAATCATCCTCCATGTCTCGCTCCATATTTGAGTCCTCAAGACTTGTAGGCCAATGCCCTGAAAATAGGCATCTACTGCCATTGCTTTGACTAAGAGGTCTATTTGGGTAAAATTATCAAACTGTTTCCTTCACTGCTGTATAAAAGGGAAAAAGAAAAAACTCCTGTCAGAAATAACTTTAGACAACTTCACACCCAAAGAGCTCAAAGACAAAAATGCTCAAGATAAGGTCTTCGGCATATGCACACACTGCCTTCTCCAGGGGTGAACATTACAAAGGTGGCTAATTACACTGTCTACGGCAATGCCTTCAGGAACTCCTCACTTGGTAGGGTGAGCACTTAAGGTTTGCAGAGGCTTAATTCATGTACACCAGGGTCCCCTCCACACTGAGACTTTTGTCTAACAACTGCTTCATTGGATAGAGATTTGGGTGACATGAAGAATGATGCACTCGGGGGCCGGGGATTTAGCTCAACAGTTTGGTGGCCTGCCTCGCAAGCGCAAGGACCCGAGTTCAATCCCCGGTACCACAAAAAAAAAAAAATGATACACTTGTGAAACCATCCTCTACTACCTCTTTCTGGAAACCTCTGCTGTTGAACTCTCACACTCTTATCAACTCACACAAGGAAAAGATCCCAACCCTATAAAACTGGACAGACAGGAGCATCATAGGGGAAATGGCACTGTTAGTTCCAACTTTCCTTGAGTTTAAATAAGGAAGCTGGGTATGGTGGTGCACACCTGTAATCCCAGCACTCATGAGGCTGAGGCAGGAGGATAGCTGTGAGTTTGAGACCAGCCTGGGCTACATAGTGAGTTCCAGGTCAGTCTCAACTACATAGTGAGACCCTGTCTCAAAAAAAAAAAAAGTGTATCTATTTACATAAAGAAAAAGGGGGAGGGCTTGCCCCATCGGAAGGCACTGACTTTAAGGTACAACACCTGCCTCCCCAATTTACACAGATTTATCTGCCCGCTGGGAACTAATCCTTTTCATCTCAGGTTTGCATAACCCAAATTCTACATCCTTTTCAGGTTGAGGAGCCTTCCCACTTTTGTGCAGCCCTTAAATCCAAGGTCAAGATGACAATGGATTTGTCGTACTTAGAGACTCCACATCCAACCTGTCTACATTCATTTTGTGTTTAACCTATCTATACTCATGTGCACACCCACTTGTTAATTACAGCACATGACGATTTTACACTCAATGAGTGTACTGTAAATATCCATCATGTCGTACATACTTTCATAGTTTACTGTAAAGTGGTTATTGATTTCAATAAACGTACCTCTACAGTAGGGGATTACTGAGTCACATCCATTTAGAAAGCAAAATAAGTTCATAGCACATCTATCCCACGAAAATCAGTTTCTTTGCAAAACACACTCTGTCCTAATTTTAAGGCTATACGTATATTTTTTTACATTGATCGTGTAAAAAGTGCCTTTAAAAAAACAATCACATTTCACTCTGGATTTTTCATATCTTCTTCAGCTGTGTCCAGTTTTAATGAGTGGTTTTCAGCTTAGACACTCACATTCCAGGCCTCGTAGGAACACTGGTGCTTGGGCATGTGCAGTGGAGGTGGAAGATAGATTCAAGATGTTCCAAGTACGCAAAATCACATGCAGACGTACAAACAGTATGTTCAGTCAAAGAGAGTTAAGAAAGCAATATATACACACAGACAACTGAGAATGGAAGGGCACAAATAAAAGCCAACTGGTAATTAACATACCGTGCTGTGACACCTGTTGCCTTCCACGATAAAAAGTCTGGAAGATCAAAGAAATGTCCCGCCTTATCCCAGCAAGTCTCTCTCAAGTTCTGCCAAATTAAATATATATTAGAATCAATTATGGGTTTTCTTCTAGCCTTCTCCTCTTTCAATAATGTTTTAAAATTTTCAAAACAAAAATGCAGCCAACAATGTTCATTAAAACATCTGTTCAAGCATTGGGGGAGGGAGGGACGGAGCAGGGGAGAGTATGACATAAAAAGAGTACATGTATACAAGGGGAAAAAATGAGAACCAAGACCTGTCATGCAAAGCTACAAGATCCCAATAATGAATGTAACTGTACTGTATGCTTACAATGTACCAATAAACTCAACAAAAAGAAAAAAAAGAGTGCATGTATAGGAAAGAAAAATGGCAATTATTGATCCTTCCAAAAATGACCCTAATTTCCCTTTAACCCTCTTTGCCAACCTACAGGGGGAGAGAGCATACTTCGTGAGGACATGTAATCCATCTTTCCAGTGAATGGCAAGAGGATACACTCTAAACACGAAGAAAGGTTTTAATACTGAACACCAGAAAGATGCGAACAAAACTACAGTAAGACATTATCCAGTGGATGTAAATGTGCTCTGCCATGTAAAACTGTCCACACGCAAACTACTTCCAAAGGCAGCATAAAGATGGTCTGCCCTCAAAGAACTTCCAATCTAAGCCCAAAAGAACAGTCACATAATTAAGCCATTATTGTAAAAATTTCCCAGATTTATTTTTTCCCACACTGCAAATGGCCAGGTTTTCTTCCTGCTGCTTGGCTTTTCCTTGCCTCTGCCAATTATATCTGGAAAATGGATTCCTTACCTTACCCAGGATCCTTGTCCTCCTGTTCCTTTGTTAATCCTACCCACCATCCCTTAGGGAAGAGTCCCAGGATCTCCTATTCCAAGTTAGATCTACCATATCACCTTATAATTATCTGTGTAATGACTTCTCACTTCCAAGACTATAAGCTCTGTGAGCCTAGGACTTTGTCAGTTGTTTCCACGATAGCTGCTGTCACCTCTTCTCATCCAAGACAAAGACGACTTTCAGTTGTGGAGTAGAAATTATGTACCACTAGTGTCTTTACTGCTGGATTTATTGGACCAGAGATAGACATGTGACCTAGCTGAGTCAATCAGACTTCTCCCAGAATCCAAATGCAGCCACTTAACTTCCACCAATGAGTGGAACTGGATGTGAGGTCAATTTTGGTAAAAGGTGAAAGATTTATACGATTTGAAGAGAAACTACGAAGTGACTACTTTTCACAGAGCACCTGGAGGAAAAGAACATAGAGACAAAAGAAGACAGAAAAACTAGCAAAAAAAATGTTTCCCACTACTCAAGTAATTCTTCTATGTCCTGATTTCAATTATTCTAGAAGCAGCTTTAAAAAAAGAATTTATCATAAACAGGAGGGTTATTTTGAGGAACCTAAATGCAATAACGGAGAAGTTCCAAAAGAGTCAGATTCTAGTATGTGCTAGAGGGCAAAACACAGTAGGCAGTCAATAAATGTTTACTAAGCAACCAGGCAAACTGCTCAGTTTCTCCATCTAGCCCTATCCTGGGAGGAGGGTTTAGAATTTATGCTGGAGGTTGTGGCTCATGCCTGCAATCCCAGCACTTGGGAAGCTGAGGCAGGAGGATCGCTGTGAGTTCAAGACCAGCCTGCGCTACACAGTGAGTTCCAGGTCAGTCTCAACTACATAGTGAGACCCTATCTCAAAAAACCAAAGGGGGAGGGGAGAAAGGAAGAAGGAGGAGGAGGAAGAGGAATGAAGAAGCCAGAGTATCCTTTATTCCCGAGTCCATACTAGCATCTTTAATCAAAACCAGAGATCCCAGTAAACCTTTCCATAGGGTGAGGAACCAAAACAAATGTTTTTAGATGTATAAAGAAAACATCCTTAAACAATGTATATGGTCTCAAAGGAGAAGTGAGTAGTGTCCCTGCTTTCTCTACAAAATCAATGACTGGAGACTAACCAGCAGAGAGAGGAGAGGAGTTTGGGTCAGAGTGTGCCTGGAAGCCTAATCACTCACTCTGAGATGCTGCCTGGCTTTCCACGAGAGTCCCAGGCAGTGTCTACATTGGGCACCGATCTGGCTCTGTAGGAAAATCTCTGTCCTTCTTCTTCCCCAAACAATGCAATCCTAGCCAAGGGCTTCAACCTTGCTGAGTTAATTCTATTCTTGAAACTACTGGAACCTCTTAATTCCTTAACAGTTTACAACAGTGTTCCATATGCTTCATCTCATGTGATTCTCAGGTGGTTCTGAGATGTCAAGCAAAACATATTTTCAAACCAAGCATGTGGGAACTGAGGGTCAGACCCAGGGGCTCAGCCCAAGTCACACAGGAGATCTATTCTAATGCAGTGTTCTTTCTCTTTGCTGTGCTTCAGTGACTGCCCTGAGGCTCCCAGTTCTAGAAAAGCTGTAGGTTGGGCCTTCCCACAATGTGATAATGGAAGCTACTGCCATTCTTTACACCAGAAACAAAGAACAAAAGCCCTTCCAAACAACATAGTCTCAAAATTTCAGCCATTACAGATTGCAGTTTCAGGGAATTTTCTTCACTTCCATGTACCTAACAACATTTTCTGTGCACAAATGGAGTATGGGTTATAATAAAAAACACAGAGAAGCCAACAATTCGAGCCATCATTTGTGCAGCTCGTGCTAGCTTAGTCTAGTCCAAACTAGGCACTCTCTGTACTGAATGAGTTAAGTCTTTCTGTCTTCTAGTTACCAAGCAACTAACAAAAACTAATCTTTTCAAGAAATAAAGAATCAGCAATGATTTGGGGTGTATGTCTTGGCACTAAAAGTTTCTGCATTCCAATAATAATCCCTTGAGTTAAGCAACCCCCAGCTTGAACACAACCAGAGAGAATAGCTTCAAAAAAGAGAGAGACTGTTTATTACTTCATAAAACCACAACATTTCTTGGGAGGAGGCTACTGCTCAAAGCTCACACAGCTGCAGGTTTTAGCAGAGGGTTAGGGTAGAGTAATTACCTCTAAGATTCAAGTCAGGCTCAACTGCCCTGCCAGCCTCAAGGCACAGCTGAGGTGCCGTCACCTCTTCCCTCCCACACAATGTCCTGGGAAGCTGTCTCATTTCTGCCCCTTCTAGACACTGTGGAAACTAGTGAGGGAAATGAGGTAGCTACTGCAACGGCACCAGGGTCCAGGAATAACATGAGAAAACATGGATGCCCCTCAAACAAAGGAAATCAAGCATTTGATTATATCCTGTAAAGAGATTCTGGCTGGCCTGTTTGTGGTGTGCAGTGAATAAAAGGGAGAGAACAGAGCTCCTTCCTTCTCCACTCAATAAATGATTCTTCTGCCTGCACACTTCAAGCATTCATGATGTTTCTTTCCAGAACAACCACTCCCAAAAAAGTAAAACTTTATCCTCATTCTATGTTCAAGACTCCAAATTAAGGCATTGGACAATCCAGAGAGTAAAGACGTTTCAGGAGAAACTTGTGTCATTCTCAAAAGAAAAATGATGCGGAAACAGAGTGGATCCTCAGCCATGATCAGAAATGAATCAAAATGAATGAAACAACTGCCGTGTTCCAAACCCCTATCCACAGAGACAGAGACCAAACCCTAAAAATACTGCAAGGCAGACAGGCAGATTAGCTGGGGTTGGTGTTACCAGAGCTATCTTTCTAAAAATTTAAGACTTACCATTTCCCATTCCTTTGTTTAAAATTGTCCAAGCCTAGAGCCACATTTTAATTATTTAGCATGGCTCTTAGGATTTTCAACAAGCAGGCTCCAATGTGGCCATTTTTTTCGACTTCTTGGGCATATCTCCCATGGCCTCTCCGCTAATACTCTCCACTCTGCCCTCACTTCATTTCTTTTACTCCCAAACACATTATGCTCATCTATATTTCTATGCCTCTGCTTAGGTTGCTGCCTCTACTTGGACTGACTTTCTTGCCTTCTCCCTGATCAAATGTCTACCCTTGATTCAAATTCAGCTCAGAAGCCACCTTTTCTAGGAGTCCTTCCATCCCACAATGTATCTGAATTATATGTTCATATACCTAAATCTACCTCAAAATGACAAGTGTCTGGAAGGCAAAAGACAAGTCATGAAAAGAATACAAATAGCTGCAGGAAGTAAAAAGAAATGTAAAGTTGGGCCCTTTCAAAAGAAAGCTACTACGAAGCTAGAGAAAAATGTTGTAAAATGATGTTTGACAATAATGTAATGAGTCTGATACCAAGATTTTGAGTCAGCCTCATAACTTTATCATATTTGTGTGTGGTCATTTATCTGCCTCAATGAGTAATTACAGATAGGGTTCAGGGAAGGGAAAGGGCTTCAGGGCTGGGGTGCTAGAATAGGCTTCATAGTGAAGAGTTTTGAGCTGAATCCTAAAGATCAAATAGAATAAATATCTCTGCTGCTGCTGAGAATCACATAAACCATAAAAATTTGAATTGACAAGATAGACACAATATTCCCAATAGAGAGGAATTTAACTGTGCCATCAGATAATTTATTTGTAAGATGAAATAATTCCATTGTATAATTCATTTTTCAAAAACTGGATTAAAGTGGATGTATATGTATCCCCCCATCTCCTGGAGGCCTGGTGTTATGCAGGAAAGTAAACTTACCATCCACACAAGTGCTGATTTTGGACCATAAGAATGTCATCATGTGCACGACAATTGACCAGACTCATCAAATTAGACTCTCCTCACCAGTGCGATACTACCATGCATATTAGGAAAGCAAGGATAACAGTACATGGGGTCTAAGAACTTCAGAATTTAGCAAATCCAAGCTTGATAGCTGAGCTTGATTTCCCAGATGTGTGGCTTTAGGAAACTTAGTATCTCTAAACCGCAGTTTCCACAAATGCTGCACTTGTAGCATGTGCCTCAAAGGATGCTGGGATCATTAAATAAGTCAACAAGATTTACTCATTACTGGTACAGACCTTCACATTTTTCAAAGCAGTTTGACATCCATGATCTCATCTGAGCTGCATAATTCCTAAAGGCAG